GCATTACAAGTAACGCGAGTTACGTAATCAGATTACTTAACACATTGCTTTCCATAAAAAGTAACTAAGTAACGTAATTAGTTAATTTTTTATGGAGTAACGCAATATTGTAATGCATTACTTTTAAAAGTAACTTTCCCCAACACTGCATAGAAATAGCTTTCCAAAGCAAGGAGACTCAACTCACAAGTGATTTCAACAAAGTTTGGCATTAGCATCACACACAAAGCTTAAAATAGTCAAATGTAATTTTTTATATTAAATTTAACTATATTTTATACCTTTGGTTTGGAATGAGTTAATAAGTGTATTTATAATCAGCATTTTCTTTGTTTATCAAGTCTTTTTTTTCAGCCCATTGCAATTCAAGATTGCCTTCTCAGAGAAGAATACATGTGATGCTGCCTTAGAAAGACAATGTTTTGGAACAACCTTCACATTGGGAGCACCTATGATGTCTTTAAAAGCTCACTAGGTTTTAGAATAGAGTGAATGAGTGCCTGGCATCTTAAGCCAAATTCAGTCCAAATGCATTTGGTTTCATGCAATATTGAGTGTATTTAAAACAGTGCATGTTGGTGATGCAACATGACAAAACTACATCGGTTCAAGTTGTGTTGATGTGATGATTGGGAATAACAGGTATGTTCACATTTTTACAATGATATTGCAAGTTAATGATAACATTATGCTTCAGTTTTCATGCTATTTTTAAAGGGATAAAACTACAGGCGAAAGCCTTTTTTTCATGTACTGGTCAGTTTTGAGATTTTCATTTACTTGACTTTTCATAACATTTTGTTTCAGACTAGTGGAAAGAAAACATCCAAAAAATACACTTTTTTAAAATTGCACTTCAACTATTAACATAGATTTTAATTGCAAAACCTTATTTTTAAGTGTATCTTTATAATACCAGTATCTTTTAAAAGGCCATTTTCTCAAAAATGTCTGAACCTTTATCACACAGGCACATGGGTAACCATTAACCAACGCATTTAATATGCATTTAATACCAGATTATTTGCATGTAGTGTGCGGTAGATGTTTTGTTACATAAAATATGGCTGAAAAGAATAAATAACATGATGCATTTAGTCAGGTTTATGCTTAGAAAACATGATAATGGTCAAGATACATTCTCTGAATTTTAGCTTCCAGCAATTAATTATCTTTTAATAATCAGTGATTTTAACAAGTTTTAATAATCTGCAATTTTTTATGGATAAGATATGGTTAAGAATACAGTCCTGCACTACAAATCTTACTTGTGCCTGGTTCATCACTTTTTCCTAGACATTTAAGGAATATTTAAATTGTTTTTGCCAGATTATGCTATTTTGGTTCCAAGATCCTTGATAGTATTAGGGAATTTTATTGGTCTGGTGCAACTTTTATAATTGTAATAGAAGCCAAAATATGAATAATATGAAAACTCTATCATCAAAATATGAAAAAGTATCTGCCTTTTTCTCTTGAATTGAAATAAATAATTCCGCAAATAATCCTATTCTTAAGTATTTTTGTCAAAATGTTTGTTAAAATACCTAAAAAAATCTCAAAATAAGATACAAGTATATAATAAATACAAGTATATTTTGTGTATTCTTACTTTTTTACTTTTTAAGTTGTTTATATTGTTAGACAAAATATTGTATGTGTATGTATGCGTGTGTGTGTGTGTGTGTGTGTATATATATATACACATACAATAATATATATATATATAGGCAATATAACATATATCTCCAAGGACAAATGTTAAAAAAGATGCCACTTGATTTATTTTCTAATAAATTCCAAATGATAAAATCTAGTGCTGTCCTATTTTTCTCATTTGATATACTGTTACACTCAAAATATGTTCAATGTTTCATTTTTGACTTATTTATTTTTCTTAAAGAAATGTTCAATTTTGCACAGAGAAATTTTTTTCAATTGCATTTGTCATGTTGGAGCAGTGGCTTAGCGGAATAGTGCTGCTTATGCAGATGGTACAACAGTTCGAATCTGGCATGCAGTCTTTTCCGATCCTTTCCTTATTGTTTCCTGCTTTATATCTTATTATCAAATTAGAAGTTACCAGAAAGAGGTTGCATGTCCTTCCACACTACCAGACGGAGAGTACAATAGCACAATACACGGTATAATATTGTAGCCCGGTACAATAGCGCCGCAGCCGGTCACAGCTCACTGCATCCCTCAACATTAAAGAGGAAGTTCTCTTTCACCAGAGCTTGTTTTATTCCTCCGATAATCCCTGGTGTCTGGCTCTCTCCTGCAAGCGTCTAAGAGGTGTCAAAGGAATTATTCACCCCTTCACGCGGTTCATGAAGGAATCCACATTGATGTCCGTCCCCGCCGGCCATTCTAGCGAGCAGTTTGGCCATGAATAGCAGACAGGATTAGTGCCAACAGAACAGAATGAGACGCGAGCAGACAGAGGGAGGAAAGAAAGAGGCTCAATGAGATTTATGGGGCGAGGCTCAATGAGAGTGAAAGCCCCTCATATGATGACTACTTGTCTACAGTGTTTCCCCTCTGCACTTTCATCTAAACCACGAAGAGAGATTAAGTCATGAAAATGAATGCATTAACCCTTTGCTGCCTAATCTCCCGTGATTGTTGCAACTGAGTTTCTCACGTGTTCAAAAAAACGCTATTTTGTCCATTATGCTTTTGTTGTGTCTGGATCTACCGGCTTTAGGCGACATTTGTAATAATCAAATAATCTGACCACTAGACGGGGGAAATTGTCACATGATTTAATAACAAGTTGTGTTCAAATATGGCAAATAAACAAACCTGTGCAAACACTCAAAATTACTCAACATTCATTTTTCAACAGGTATTCTCTGTTTCATGTCTAACACTGCTGTGGTAAATTCTTTGCAACATACAGAGTTGAAAAAATAAGGGTTTAAAAAGTAGCCTGTAGTCTATATCTGTATATAATTAGGGTTGCAAAATGCCTCTTTTAAATGAACAGGTGTCATTTACTGTTATAAGTTATAATAGGTATTATAATATTTACTTAAATCCCTTTAACAGATTAATACTGAATATAAATATATTATGTGATAAATAAATAAATAAATAAATATATATATATATATATATATATATATAT